TAGGAATCGTCTCTTGGTGCACAGACGAACTTGTAGCAACGTTACTTCCAAATATCATTGGCAAATCTTTTTCCAATTACATAGGGATGAACTATGACACTCTGTTGAGGAATGACACGGTGTGTTTTCAAGCAATATCAGCATTGCAGGGCCATGATGCATGGCAGTCTATCTCTGGCATCTGCCAGGTTCCAAGGACTTTAACAGTCTGGGCATTCTAGAACATTGGGCGTGCAAGAGCACGGGGCTATGAATATGTAGCTGTATATAAACGGGTGAGGTCTTGGAATCGTATTTTGTGTATAGCCACACATATTTCAAACACCAGAAATCATGGCCCGGACTGGTACATGCCTCCAGGATTAAAGGGTTTTCAACTTTGCGTTGGGTTCAAAACCAGGTGCTGTTTCAGGAATGCAATGGGGATGTTACGCAGCCTGCATGAATATCTATATATATATACATGTTTGTAATCACTTATTTACAGACTTATCTGATTGTTCATGCAACTGTTTATTTGTGCATTTGCTTTACTTATTTGTCTTTATCTTTGTATTTACCCATATACACATGTGCTAGGCTCCTCTACCTGCAGTCTTCTTACTTCTCAATCATGCGGCACTGCAAGAAATCCTACAGGTGGTCGCGAAGCGCACGCACGAGCGCATCTACACACACACACATATATATATATATACATATATTTATTTATTTTTGTATATTTATATTTCTGTAATATGTATTTAGTTAGCTATACACTTGGTTATATTGCAAGGCAAGCCCAGGCCTGAAGACCCAGTCTGTACTTGACACGGAGAGGCAGGGTCAAAGCCCCCACCAAGCTGCTGCGGTTGATGCTATTCCTGGTTTAGGGTTAGGGTTTGGGGTCTTGGGTTTTGGGGAGGTTCAGTCAGGCTTCTCCATAAGATCTGCTTGCCAAAAGATGTCAAGCTGAGATCGGCATAGGCCTTTGTGACTTTCATGCCCATCTCACTTTTCATGCCGACGCTTAGGAGTTGCTTCAAATGAATGCTTCCTACACCTGCGAGCGTCGCGGCTCCTCTGGTTCAGATGCACCAGCCCACAATCAACAACCGAGAGCGGCATCTTAAAACCCTAAGCCCGCAAGCCCTATGTAACGAAATCGGCTAGATATCAGGTACGAAAACCCCACAGAGCGGCATGCTTCCGAACATCACTTAGGACTCCGAAAAAAAAACCAAGTTCAAACTCAAAGCCCCAAAGACCTCAAACCTGACTTTCAAGCTCACGGACCTTAGGGTGTAGGGTTTAGGGTTTGAAGAGCAAACCCCAAAACCCTCAACTCAAAGAAAGACTTCCAAAAGAAGAGCGAAGCTCGGATCGGCACGGGCTTCCAACAAGAGCTGCGTGTGCCGCGCGTCTGCTTGCATCAAGGCGGCCATACAAAGCCTTTGGGGTTTAGGGTGTCTGGGCGCGCTGGGTGCTAGGAACACCCTGAACCGTGTGTCTCCACCCCCACACGGGCTTTCCTGAGTAAACTAAGTGAGGGGTCACATCCGTTGGAGCACCGACAGACCCCGCTCTGGGCGTCGTTTTTCGGGGTTTAGGGTCTGCCTCGGGCGCAGGGGCCCCTGCCTCTGGTGGCTGGAGTGCTGGACCAGGGGGGCCGGCAAGGGGGTTCAGGGAGCAAAATTCGTTTTTTCGTGCGTTGGGACCTCCAGCAAAGGGGCTGGCAAATTCGGTGCATTTTCGTTGGTGTCTCGGCTCGGGCAAGGGAAAAAAGACATGGGCCACCAGCCAAGTCGAAAACGTTTCACGACTTGGACAAAGATTGGAGGAAAGGTACCCCAAACCTTCACGACTTGGACACCCCGACAAGGCCGCCAGCCTAGTCTAAAACACACATGTGACGAAAGGACTTTAGCTTGGGACTGGCCGAACAGGCCCTGCCATGCCGCAGGCTACTCCCAGCCGCATCCTCCGACGGCCCCGCAACTGGACCAGGCTTGCCGGTCTTCACGACTTGGGACGGCGCCGCAACTGGGACAGCCCGCAACTGCGAGTTGGGACGGCCCCCAACTGTCCCCAACCCCTCACTCCAAAGACGGAGAAGGATTGGGAGTACGGTACCCCAATCCTTCACGACTTAGGACGGCCCTCCAATTTGACAGTTGCCGGAAAGGGGGGACCCCGAGACGGGCCACCGGCCTAGTCTAATGAAACACACGTTCTGCAAAAAGAATCAATGTGGCAAAATCCGGCCCTGTGCTATGACTTGGGACGGGCCGAACAGGCCCTGCCATGCCGCAGGCTACTCCCAGCCGCAGCCTCAGCCAAACCCGCCCCGCAAGTGGACAAGGCTTGCACACTTGGCACAGCGCCGCAACTGGGACAGCCCGCAACTGCGAATTGGGACGGCCCCCAACTGTCCCCCAACCCTTCACGACTTGAGACGGTCCAAAAACAAAAAAGATTGGGAGTAGGGCAATCCTTCACGACTTGGAACGGCCCTCCAATTTGACAGCCCCCCCGGAAAGGGGGACCCAGAGATGGGCCACCAGCCTAGTCTAAAACATGCCATGCCGCAGGCCCGAAAAGGGCCGAGGCTTCTCCCAGCCGCAGCCGCACCCAAACCCGAACCTACTTGAATGGATAATTTCTGACGGGCGTAGAGCTTCCAGGAGCAAGAAACGTATCTTCCAAGAATAGAAATAATGCAGAAGAACATAAGCTAAAAAACCCTAAACCCTAATAGAGTATAGTTCGGGTGGCCGGGGTAGGTTTACGAGCAACGCGAGCGCGGCCCGGGGTGCCCTAAACCCTAAAGAGGATCAGGCTCTGGGAGCCATAGCCCAGCTGGAGGACGGTGCATGGCTCACGTGGTCTGAAACCCCAAAACCGTTGATTCCCTAAACCGCAAACCCCTATAAGCCCTTAGCCCTAGAGTTTGGGGAAGAGGGCCTGGGATGAAGGCTCTCATGTGTTTGGGGGCTTCTGAGTTTTGAGGCTTAAACCCTAAGCCCCTAAACCCTAAACCCTAAACCCCTAAACCCTAAACCCTAAACCCCTACACCCTAAACCCTATAGACACTAAACCGTTACGGTTTGGGCAGGTGTAAGGCCTTCCGGGTCCCGGCTTCAGAGTCCTGCGCCTGGGTTTGGGAAAGCAGGGTTAGGAGACTCACAGGGGCCCCGCTGGGCGGTTTCGGGTTTAGGGTGGGGTTTAGGGTTTAGGGTTTAGGGTTGGGGGTTTAGGGTTTAGGGTTGGGGGTTTAGGGTTTAGGGTTGGGGGTTTAGGGTTTAGGGTTGGGGGTTCGGTCAGAGTCTTGGCACCTTTCGCCGCGCTGCTGCCGTGCGATTCAAGATTTTGTGCTTGAGGGTATCGGCTCTTTGTGCCAATGGCAAACCCTAAACTCTAAACCTAAATCCCTAAATCCCTAAACCCTAAACCCTAAATTCCGGAACCCTCAAAGCTAAACCGGCCCCAAACCCCTCAAGTTGGCAGACGAAGGACTGCAAGATCTCGGAAGCTTCCCCGCCCGCGCCCAGCCCAAATGGAGCCCCCCCCAAAAAACGTCCTGAAACCGGTTCTGCAGAGCTAGAAAACCTGCTACATATCTTGTAGGGCTTTGACTTGCTATTTTGTAGGGTTTGGGGTCACAGGTAAACACGAAACCCTCCACCCTAAAAGCCGTAAGTCCCAAAGGAAACCAAAATGTTCAAACGCGAACCACAGCGTTACCCCTGAACCCCAAGCCCTACCTATAGTCTCCATTGTAGTTCCTTTGGGGGGGGATACCTTATAAAATCCTTAATATATACTTGGTTAAACCAAAAAAAGGAACTACAATGGAGACTACAGGTAATCTCTAAAACGAGAGGCGGCCGCCCGCCCAGAGTTCCCTCCAGATTCGGATCTGCTCTATGTTCCAGGAGGATTCCTTGTTCAGTAAGGAGTTTAGGGTTTAGGGGTTTAGGGTTTAGGGTTAGGAGTTTAGGGTTTATGGTAGCCCACTGGGAAACTGTATACACTTCCCTTCTTCTAGAACAAAACAAAAAGCTTGAAATTGAAAAAGGTGTGTCGCTGAACATCCTAGATTCGTGTGCACTCCGGGTTGCTGCTGGTTGCGGATAGACTCCTTGGTCATCCCTGAACCCTAAGCCCCTACCAAGAAGAAACGGACCAACTCCCAGATCCCGGAACCTACGGCAGTAGACCCTAAACCCTAAACCAGTAGAGCTCTTGAACACTGATCGAGACGAGAGGTCAGAGCGCCGACATTCCACATCTCAGAATGAAGGGGTCTTCGGGCTTAGGGATTTAAGGTCTAGGGTTTCGGGATTTAGGGTTTCAGGTTCGGGATTTAGGGTGTAGGGTTGCAAGTTTGGGATTTCGGGTTCGCAACGTTAGCGGCTGAAAGTAGTTGCTTCTTCACGGCTGTTCAAGACTCGAGCTTGCGTACAGTGGCCAGGCTTGTCATTGCGGCCTGGATTGTAAGGCAAGCTAGAGCAGTTCAAGCCTTTGATGTCGGCCCAGATTTTTTAATAACAGAATCAGATTCGCCGCTGCGCGGCCCAAATTTTCAATTATGTCGGTGTGACCGAGCTGGTGTGCAACGCCATTCGGGCCGCTAGACCCCGCACCCTGTACCTGACTCTACCTAAAACCCTAAACCTTCTATCATACAAATATATATATATATATATACATACATATATATATGTAGACATACATATGTATATATATATATATACACATACATACAATACAAAACCGATATTGATGTACACACATATACATACAAATATATATATATATAAATATATATACATACACACAATTGCATATATATATATATACAAAAGCATATGTGTCTCTCTAAGTCTCTCGATCCATCTATCTATCGATCGATCGATCTATCTATCTATCTATCTATCTATCTCTATCCGCAGAATCTAAAAGCCAACGCCATCAATGCAAAATCAAAATCCTCGACCGCCCGGACCGCCCGAGTCTCAATGCCCCAGCGACCACGAAGCAGCCCTCGTTGACGTCAGCATGCGCGCGTATCAGCAAGGGCAAAACTGCAGCGTTCCCAAAGTAGCTTGCGTGAGTCAGTAGTGGCCTCGGGTGTTGTGGAAAAAAAGTGTGGGGTTTAAGATTCGGTCCGACTAGGACTTTGGATTTAGTGCTTGGGTTTCGGGGGTTTGGGCTTCGGCTTCAATAGGGCTCAGGGGGTCTAAACAAGGTAGCAGACGGCCCGGAAGATCTCGTACCCCTAAATTCATAACACCAAACCTTAACGGATATGACGTAGACACCGGCCCGACGTTATGTTGATGTGTAGGCACGCTGTGTCTACAAACCGGCGACCTCCAACAAATAAACACACTTCCCACGCTTGTAGTAATCGTGGATCCTTCATACGCTGCACGGCAGTATTCAGTTACAGTTTTAGGGTCTAGGATTTAGGGTTTAGGCCTTTTCTTCCTCCTCTGTCTCGAGTGCTCCGCCTCGAGCAGTTGTCTTCCGGCTGCGTGGGGCACAACGCCTCTGCTTTTGCCGTGCACGTTGGACGCTCCGGGACTTTCGCATGTGAGTGAGTGAGTGAGTTTAGGGGTTTAGGGCTTAAGATTTATTGGTTTAGGGTTTATAAACCCTAAACCCTAAACCCCATAGGGTTTAGGGTTTAGGATCCTTTTAGGTCCCCAGATCTGATACCCTCTGCTTTTCGTACTGGTGCGAGAGTGGAGGCAGAGAACATTACAAAGTGATCGACTCGCCTCCTCCTCCTCCTCCGTAAGCACCAGCGATTGAGTTTAATCTAGGTTTGAGGCAGTGATCTGATATAGTTTTCACCCTTGCTGCTCTGTCTTCTTACTAAAAACCTGCTATCAAACTTCATTGTCGTACTACTGCTAGCGTCCGAACTTAATCTTGCGTGCCCTTCGAACCAAAATCAAAACGATAGTGTCTAATAACGCTGTGGAATTATGTCCTGGTAACAAAAAGAAACAACTCAAAGAATACTACCCATAGGCCCCTAATAGTTCCTTTTTGGGGGGATTATCTTATAGGATTCTAGATATAAACCACAAAGAGGAACTACTCAGGGGCCTATGGGTAAACCCTAAACCCTAAACCCCTAAACCCAAACCCAAAACCCTAAACCCTACTCAAAGAACACTAAAGCTTAAATGTGCTGCACGGGCGACACGCCACCCTGAGCCTTCGGAAGGTTCACCGACGCTCGCGCCTGCTCCGGAAAGCGCTGACCCCGGCTTAGGGTTTAGGGGACTAGGGGTTTAGGGGTTTAGGGGATTAGGGGGTTAGGGGTTTAGTGTTTAGTGTTTAGGGTTTATATAGGGGTTTAGGGTTGAGGGGTTTCGGGTTTAGGGTAGTTACCGGCCCAAACTGACGGGAGTTTGGATCCACATACTGACATAAACCCGAAGAAATAGGAATTGACTAAATGCTCAAGACCTGTGAACATGCTCGACAAGTGTGCTCCCACTGAGGCATCTGGCACCACCCACACCCCACCGCATGTCTCCAAACCCTATAAGCCCTATAAACCCTCTAAACCCTACAAGCCCTATAAACCCTAAACCCTCTGAGCCCCAAGCCCTAAACAACCCTAAGCCAACCCTCTAAACCCTAAACCCAAGACCTCAAACTTAACACCCGACCCTGAGGCTCCAACCCCGCAGATCAACACTCAACATATCCCTAACCACCCAGGTACCTACTATATAGGGCCCTAGGGTTTAGGGTTTAGGGTTTAGGGTTTAGGGTTTAGGGACCTTTATAGGGGCTCTAGTACCCTATATAGTAGGTACCTGGGAGGTCAGGGTATAATAGCACTTCGCACACTAAGGAAGCTGGGCCCTGGACATGACATTACCAGCGAAACCTCCAAAGCCTAAGGCCTTAAACTGTAGGGGACTTAATAATTAGACTAGGGTTTTGGGGGGGGTTCCTTATTGTAATTATAGTATAAAAGTACCCCACAACCCTATTCTAATTATGAAGGCTCCTATTTTTAATCGATGCCAGAATGAAGGGTGGGAGGGTGCCTGAAGCAGCAGCTGTACGGCCTCTGGTGTAGAGATCTGCGCGGCCAAAGATAGGGCCGTGTTCGTGCCGTTAACATGTGCTTCAGGGATTTCGAACTTCGTCGTGGCATCAACGTCGCACCCTTCACGCAGCAAAGCTTGCATCACGCTCAAGTTGCCCTCCATGCTTGCGAGCATCAGGGGCGAGAGCTGTGACGAGTCCGAAGCGCTCATGTTATATCGCTGGAGAAAATGGGAAAGACTCTCGTTCGGCGGGAAGTCCGGGTACAACTTCCTGTATGCTGCTTTGATCCACAACAAAAAAATCTACTTACTACTACAACAACAGCTGCAACAAAATCCCTGTAGACCCCTACAGCACCCTATAAAGCCTATCCTAAATCCCTAAACCCTAAACCCTGAACCCCTAAACCCTAAACCCCGAAACCCCTAAACCCCAGAAACTGAAAAAAGGATTTCGATGCAGCTCCAAGCTTCGTTTTGGACATCAACGCCGTGTAGAAGCGCCATGCTTGCAGGTCCCCTTTCTCCCAGAGACCTGTGTGTGTGACAGAGGGTTTAGGGTTTCGGGTTTGGGTTCAGGGCTTTAGGGTGTGAGGGTTCAGGGTTTTAGAGTTTAGGGTTTAAGGGCTGAGGGTTTGGCTTGTTCAAAGAGGCCTGTGCGGTAGATGGATAGGAGAATGCTGGTGACTTCGCCCACCATGTGGCGGTCCGTCTCCAAAGAAAAATCTCCCTCAACGGGCCATCCGACAACCCACTCTGGTCCGGATTTTACGACCAACTTCTGCGGGCTTGTAACCATAATCAAGCATGCGCGGCTGGCGAAAAGACTTGCAGATCGCTCCAGCCTGCAACCAGGAACGCAGGTGACGCGCCAAGAAACAGTCACTCGAATTATAACCCTAAACCCTAAACCCCTAAACCATAAACATAAGATACTTGAGTTGCTAAACAGTTTTGATAAGCAGAAAAGCCCTCTGTGGCTTACACAAACCCTCTTGACTCGACTTGCTTGGGCAACGCGACTTCCTGAATCCGTCTGACGAAGGTGCCGTTCAATACACCGGCGTACACCAGACCCAAACCTTCGGAAATTCTTGCTTCAAGAGCGACGGAAGAATTTGGTGAGGTGAAGCTGCCCACTTTGAACATCTGAAGCTAGCGAAACTAACGTGATGCACTCAGCCCTAAATCCAGAAATCCGAATCCCTGACCCCCCCGAAGCTCTGAACCCCAGAAGCCGTCAACCCCCGAAAGGCAGACGCTGCCTACACCAGCCCCTTCGCTGCCAGCTGAGTACGCCGAGAACCTTTATCCGGACAAGCTTGAGGGCCCTTGAGGGCCTAGGGTTTTGGCGTTAGGGGTTCAAGGTTTAGGGCTTAATGTGGTGGCCTTAATTCGCCTCGGCCCCGGCCGAAGCGGTCAGAGGTTCCTATTCGGGTTCCTTTATTCCCCACCTTATAATCCCCTTTTGAATAGCCCCCCACCCTCAAAGTTGCAATGGGGAGGGGGGGTTCGTACGGTTGATGATATAAATCCTGCAAAACCCATAATAAGGAATATACCATAATTCCCATAGTTTAGGGTCCTTAAGGTCATGCAGGATTTCTACCATCAACAGTAAGTGTGAACCCAGAACTGAGCCCCCAAGGTCCTGCGGTGAAATCTCGCCTCCTCGGGCCGAGGCGGACGACGCGAAGCGCTTAAA